GCACAAGCAATATGTGTGTGTGTGTGTATGTATGTATATATATATGTGTGTATGTGTATGTAGAATAGAATAGAATACAATAAATGTAGAGAATAGAATAGAAGAGTAGAATAGAATAGAATAGAATAGAATAGAATAGAGAATAGAAATAGAATAAGAATAGAATGAAGAAGAGAATAGAGAAGAGAATAAGTGAAGAATAGAATAGAAAATAGAATAGAGAATAGAATAAGACTAGAGTAGAATAGAATAGAATAGAATAGAATAGAATAGAATAGAATAGAATATCTTTATTGTCATTGTATAACTCACAACGAAATTAAGTGCTGTCCACAGTGCACACTACACACAAGTAAAAACCACAAATAAGAACATACATTATATACACATATCCTTCACATTGTGCTGCCCTGTGTATCTGTATATGACGTGTGCATATGCGCATTATCTATGTTTATGGGTAGCTATATACTTTATTTTGAGAACAGACAACAGAATTTCATTTTTAATGCGGGCCAGGCTGCCCACAGTAAAAAAAATGACAATAAAAGTTACCTTAATCTACTTTTATCTATCCTAAAGGGTCAGTAATTCTCCTCCTTTACATTTTCCCTGTTCTTTGCTCTTGAACATCCTGCAGTTCTGGTGGGGTTTTTTTTTGTTTGTTTGTTTTTCTCTCTTAACCTCTTCTTTTTTTATGCCTCTTTATCCCTTTTTGCACAGATTTATTGAAGGGAATAAAATTGAAACCATTTCGAGGAACGCTTTTCGTGGTCTTCGAGACTTGACTCATCTGTAAGTTGTTGTTTTTAATACTAATTTATTTCTTGCTTAAAACTGAACATGCTGTTACGTTCACATACATGTAGTCCTCAACTTGCGACAGTTTGATGACCGTTCGAAGTGAAAAAAAGTGAGTTACAGCCGTTTTTCACGCTTAATGACCCTCGCAGTTTCCCCATAGTCACCTGATCAAAACTCGGATGTGCTTGGCAGCTGGTTCACATTTATGACGGTCGCAGCGTCCCCGGGGTCACGTGATCCCCTTTTGACCAACAAAGTCGGGGGGGGGGGGGAAGCAGGATTGCTTAACAACCAGGTTACTAACTTCTCAGCTGCAGTAATTCATTTAACAACGGTGGCCAGAAAGCTCGCAAAATGGGGAAAAACGCACTTAACAAATGTTTCACTTAGCCACATACATTTTGGGCTCAATTGCGGCTGTAATGTGAGGACTTCACCTGTATTACCTGGGCTGGGTTACTGCAGGGGTAGGCAACCTTGGCTCTTTTACGACTCGTGGACTTCAACTCCCAGAATTCCTGGGCCAGCATGGGGAACTATGGCCCTTTTATGACTGGTGGACTTCAACTCCCAGAATTCCTGAGCCAGCCTGGCTCAGCTTGGAAACCTCTCCCTTTCCCCTCAGCACGGCTGGCTCAGGAATTCTGGGAGTTGAAGTCCACAAGTCATAAAAGAGCCAAGGATGCCTCCCTCTGGATTAGTGCATTGGATACGGAGCTGCAAACCAACCAGCAATGTCTAGATTTTGCGTGTCAAACTCAGACCGACAATAAACTTTGTTTGGAGTCAAGTTTTGGAAGGCCTTTAGGTCAGGTTTTAAGCTCTCTGCCCCTCAAAGATCCTCATCAGCCTTTCCAAAATGGGTTTTGTAGTGCTTATTGACATTTTTTCCCCCTACTGTAATAATATTCCCAGGCAGCTATGTCTTGTCTGTAGCTAATCAGTTTTGAACTGGAACAATGGATCTAAGTGGATTAAAAGGTTTTTATGATTTCTTAGGCAGTATTTTGATCAGATCTCTGCAGAACCTCAGAAATTAGTTATCCGTTAAAGATTGGACAGCTAAAGGACTAATGAAAATGCATCAAAATTTTATCGTTCAAGACATGCTGTATAAGATAATATGTGATGCGATGTTCTTTAAAAAAAATATATCCCAGTGGATTCCCAGTGTCGGACCTTCTGAAATGTTTGGGATTTCTGTCCCACTTTGAAAGTTGTTACTAATTTTGTCCATAAATCCTCTTTATTTTCTACATCAACACTGGGACTGGAGAACCTGCCATTGGTTCTCATTAATAATAACATCCCTGTGAGCGTGACTGAATTCAGTTTCTGTCTACACGGCCTCAAATGGTTTTCAAAATTATTGCAACGTCTAACTTTGCTTTTTCCAGCTCTCTCGCCAATAACCAGATTAAAGCTTTGCCAAGGGACATCTTCAGCGATTTGGATTCTCTGATCGAACTGTAAGTAAATTGTAATCCGCGTTGTTGTTGTTTTGTGGATTTTAACCTTGATCTCAGCATTCGGAATTTTTATTTTAGCTGTTTGGACTTGAAATTGGGGATAACGAGGAGTTTGTTTCTTCTCATTCATTGGCTGAGTCTGTGCTTGATTTGAATGCTTTTCCTTTGATTAATGTACTTATTTGAAATATATCAATATTGCTAGGATGTACCATATCATCCCCATGGTCATGGGATCAGAATTTGGATGCTTGGCACCTGCCTTCTTGTGGCAAATAAATAACATCCACAACAGAAAGCACTTTTATTAATTAAGCTTCATCGACAAACAATGTCTTTCAATGCCTCGTCTTTAAAGATCCTGTCACTTTTTATTTCTTGTCCGCTGTAAAATCTGCACCGTTTTGCGTATTTCTAAACGAAAACTTAACAAGGATTGGTTGACGTTGGATTCCAACGTCTTTGCGAGAAAAATGCCTTTCTTTTTTAATGTGTTCTCAGAGACTTGAGGGGAAACAGGTTTGAGTGTGACTGCAAAGCCAAGTGGCTGTTTTTGTGGTTAAAGATGACAAACTCCACCGTTTCCGAAGTCCTGTGTGTTGGTCCGGCAGAATTTCAAGACAAGAAATTAAACGACGCCTTGAGCTTTGACGATGAATGCACTACTACAGGTATCTGGTGCATTGTAGTCGTAAATGAACGTTTGACTTTCCACGGGGCTCTTAGTAATTTGGGCACGGTAGTATAAATACGCTGTTGTTTTAAATTGTCCCATTATTCTTCGCGTGGCTACTGATCGCAGATTAATCAAAAGGATGATATTAAGAGGTAATTGACTGAAGGTCTTGTGATGGGTCAGGTGTGAGTCATCAGAGAGAGGCTGTTAATGGGTCTTGTGTGATGGGGAGGTCAGGGTCATTGGAGGGTGTGAATTATCTTAGGCAAGGTTCAGAAATGAAAGGATTGGAGATAAAAAATGAAAAATATAAATTACAAGCATTTGCAGACAATTTGGTCTTTATACTAGAACAGGGGTAGGCAACCTTGGCTCTTTTATGACTCGTGGACTTCAACTCCCAGAATTCCTGAACCAGCCATGCTGAGAGGAAAGAAAGAGTTTCCAAGCCGAGCCATACTAGCTCAGGAATTCTGGGAGTTGAAATCCACAAGTCATGAAGGGGCCATAATTCCCCCATGCTGGCTCAGGAATTCTGGGAGTTGACATCCACGAGTCATGAGGGGGCCATAGTTCCCCCATGCTGGCTCAGGAATTCTGGGAGTTGAGGTCCACGACTCATAAAAGAGCCAAGGTTGCCTACTCCTGCCCTAAACTCTACTGAAGCTGTTTTACCCAACCTGATAATGAAACATTTGGAAACCAACCCATAATAAGCTCGGAGACCCAACCTCCACCCTCATCCTCCACCCGAGCTACAGATATTTGCCACTATTTCCAATAAGCGATCAACAACTTCCTGTATCCTGCCGAGTTCCATGGTAACATGTCTGTTTTCAATTAAATATGATTACAGATTTTGTTGTCCATCAGATTTTGCCCTATCAATCAGTGTCGATTGACACATTCAACTCTAACAACGATGTCTATGTTGCCATCGCACAACCCAATATGGAAAACTGCATGGTGCTAGAATGGGACCACATCGAGAAGAACTTCAGGAGTTACGACAACATCACCGGTAAATGCCGAATGCCTCCGTCTTAAGTGTAAATGCTTACTTTGGGGTTATGGGAAGGTTGTTTTGAGGATTTGGAAAAGTCGCCCTCTTGGGGGGAGGGGTCTCCCAGGAAATTCAGGTGGGACAGGGGAGCAAATTAAAATTAAAATCCATTCCCCACCATCCCAGTCAGAGCTGAAGAAGCTTCTGGGATGAGAAGCGAAACGTCGTCAAAGAAAAACAAGGAAATCCAGTTGCTTCGTGAAAAAAAGCACCTTTGGAACGAGTAGAGTACGGTGCGTATTTGGCTAACATTATTCCTCTGTTTGCGTCAACAGGTCAGTCCATCGTAGGTTGCAAGGCCATCTTGATCGACGATCAAGTTTTTGTGGTGGTGGCCCAGCTCTTTGGCGGATCCCACATTTATAAGTACGAGGAAAGCTGGACCAAGTTTGTCAAGTTCCAGGATATCGAAGTTTCCCGCATCTCCAAGCCGAACGACATCGAACTCTTTCAGATAGAGAGCGAAACCTTCTTCATCATTGCCGACAGTTCGAAGGCCGGACTGACCACCGTTTATAAGTGGAACAACAAAGGGTTCTACTCCTACCAGTCTCTCCACGAGTGGTTCCGGGACACGGATGCCGAGTTTGTGGACATAGATGGGAAATCTCATTTGATCCTGTCCAGTCGCTCGCAGATCCCTATTATCCTCCAGTGGAACAAGAATTCCAGAAAGTTCCTCCCGCATGGCGAGATAGCCAACATGGAAGACGTGTTGGCTGTGAAAAGTTTCCGAATACAGGACAGCCTGTATATTACGCTCACCAGATTTATTGGCGACTCGCGAGTGATGAAATGGAACAGCAAACAGTTTGTGGAGATCCAGGCTCTCCCTTCCCGCGGGGCCATGATCCTGCAGCCTTTCTCCTTTAAGGGCCACCATTACCTTGCTCTGGGAAGTGACTACACCTTCTCCCAGATATTCCAGTGGGACGCCGAGAAAAGCCTCTTCCAAATATTTAAGGAGATCTACGTGCAGGCGCCTCGCTCCTTCACCGCCGTGTCAACGGACAGGCGAGATTTTTTCTTCGCTTCCAGCTTTAAAGGCCACACGCAAATATTTGAACACATCCTCGTGGACTTGAGTTTATGAAGCAGCGGTGAGCGTGGGGACTCGTGTAGGAGAAGGATGCCTTTCGCCTGAAAGCAAAAGAGAAAAGACAATATTATTCACTTTTGATAGCTAGACAGTCTCCGTGACATCATTCAGCAAGGGGTTTTTTTTTTGGGAACTTTTTAGAAGTTTGCCTATTTAATCAGGGAATGCATTAACTTGGTTAAGTGCATGCCGTGCCAATTTTAACCTTGAGGAGAGGTGTTTTTAAAGCCTACTCTTGCTCAAAGACAGCGTGGAAGGCGTTGGTTTTAAAAATGATGCAGAACTGAAAGGAGGGAAGTGGAACGGCTGAGAAAGTGGGATGAAACAAATCGAGAGGAGAAGCTGCAGTCGTGACTCTGCTAGGGACAAAAAAAAAAGAAGATTGTTTTTTTCCTCTTCTTCGGGACTTTTAGGTTAAAAGCAGTTCCAGCTGCCGATTTGGGATTTGCAACTGTTAATTAAGGGGCGGGGGAATCTCTGGATGGCATTCCTACATTCTGGTTTGGAGAAAGGAGCTGATAATCCCTTTTGAATTGCCAATCAAAAGGGATTGGTAAAAAGGGGAGGGAAGGGGAAGTGGGAGGGAGGAGGAGAAGGAAGGGCGAGGAGGAGGAGGAGGAGAAGGAAGGGGAAAGAGGAGAGAAGAAGGAGAAGAAAGAAAAAGGAAGAAAAGCAGGAGGAGGAGGAGGAGGAGGAGGAGGAGGAGAAGGAGGAGGAGGAGGAGAAGAAGAAGAAGAAGAAGAAGAAGAAGAAGAAGAAGAAGAAGAAGAAGAAGAAGAAAAAAGAAAAAAAGAAGAAGAAGAAGAAGGAAGGAAGGAAGAAGGAAGAAGGAGGAGGGAGGGAAGGAAGGAAGGAAGGAAGGAAGGAAGGAGAAGAAAAAAAAAGACTACTCATGCTCCATTAATTAATGTTCTCCCCCCAGTTAGCTAGTAGATAACTTGCATTCAATAGTCCATCAAAAGAAATACAGTAAGATTGATTGCTAAATTAGATTTTATCAGAAGTTTATAGCTACTGAAGATGAATGCCTCTTTAATAACTGACAGCAAAAGAACAGACATCTGACGTGACAGCCATATATTCAACCTTTCCTTCTCCCAATTATTTTGTACCCTGTTCTCTTACCTGAGTGTTAGATACAGGCAAGCTTAAATTCGTGATTTAAAATTTTTGATCACAATGATAAAGATGTACGCATTCCTCTAAAAGGTCTGGGAAATAATAGCTCCTTTGACTGAAACTCATCTCTTTCCAAAATTGTGCATTGACAACGATAAATAAATATCTGATAACAGAGAATGGACTTGAAGGCGACTTGATGGAGTTGAATTTGCAGATCAGGTGGATTGATCCGAAAGTTGATTTGAGTTATTGAAGCGAATCGGTTGCCTTCTAATTGATTTCGATTATTTTCAGCCCTTGGGTCTATCGATGGAAACGGCTTTTCCTGAATTGGGTGCAGAAATCCAGCTTGACTTGGTTAAGCAATGGAATCGCGTTAATTTTCCAAATCTCTTTGACGTTTTAAATTGATTTATGCATAAATTACACACGGTCCTACTGTTTGGATATTTGTGCGTGTGTGTGTAATGGTCAATTGGGTGTTTTTGTTTTGTTTTCAGGTTGCTTACCTATTTTATTCACCGCAGCCTTGAAAAATTGACTCGCACAAATGTGGCAGACGTGATTGTTGAAAAAAAAAAAAAAAAGCTTCTGATTGCTTTTATTGCATTAGAACAATAAAATTCAGAGCCTTGTGACATTTGAGGATTTGGTAGGAAAGAAGTCTTATTATAATTTTTTGAAAGGACCCGATCGGTTATTTTTTACCAACTCATGTATTTCCAAACAAAAAATGAATCCTTATTATGGACATTATCAACGATAATGATAGTATATTAACTTGTCCAGACCCATCCTTAAAATAATCCTTTACAATAATAAATGTATAGTCTAAAATGCATTGCCAAAATAAATACAATATTTATGTGCTTTGTACTGTCCGAGCTTAAGACAATTCTTGGTTACACACATCTGCATCAATCTGCATCTCTTTTTAAGATCTAAAAAACAGAACGAGTGATACTTATCCACACAGAATTCAGTTTTGTGGTCTTTGCAACACAATGTTGTCTATTTTCCAAAACCCAGCTAGTCTCTGCAGGGATCCTGCTTCCTCCTTGCTAACAGCGAATCAAGCAATTCTACACTCCTGCCCATAATGCCAGCAAAATAACGTTGTACTTCTGAGCACCAAATCATATTTTCTCCTTAGCCTGAAGCCTTCTCAGTTCCTTCTTTATTCCCAAGAATAGGATAACCAGCTTTGGACTTAAGGAAGCATCTCTTACAGTGGTCCCCATCTCCTGTCCTTCTCAACCCTCTGTTATATAAGATGTCTGCCGCTTGGGAGCCCGTTTCTTGCTTACCTCTGTCCATCTGAGACCTACTGTTGAAAAGTTTGCAACTTGATGTTAAATGAAGCATAAAACGTTAGCAGTAGGGTCACAGTTGGGTTAGCGCCAAAAACGATGCTCTCCCGTGATTCAGGAGGCAGATTTCAAGCAGGAAATGTTACAGATGGCAGAACATAGGCCATAACCTTCATTGATCAAAACTGGGCTGGCTTTTGCAGGACGAGAAGACTTTGGCATGGCTGGCTCAAAAACAAAACAAAACACAATGTGGTACGTTCATCTTGACAAGCAAGACTGGCTTCAGTTCAAGCTATATAATGCAGCTGTCCTCTGGAGCAATGCTAAAGGTACCACACAAATGGTTGGGTGGGAATTAGGACTCAAAATACCAGCTTAGATATTTGGATATCTTCCTCTACTGCAGGAATCCAGGAGTTAAGAGTTCACTCTACAGATTTTGTTGCAGGGGATGTTCTGGCAGGTTGATCATGGTCCAGAGACAAAGCTATGAAATGACAAGAGACTTGAAGAATTGGGAAAGGGACAGGACTCTTCACAAATGACGTTCAATGGATTGTTTTCCCTGCAGTCCACAGGAAAGGAGACATGTTGGCCTCTCATTGGAAAAGTACAGGAGATGTCAGTCTTCAGCTCCATTTCTTAGGTCCATAAAAGACACGATCTCCCTCAATAACTCTTCACTCTTGGTATCATTCCATAACTTTCCAATGCAGGAAGACTTCTAATTCTAACTATTGTCATTGAAAGACAGAAGGAACCTAGTTTAACAATAAAACCCATGACTTGGTGGGTTCCCGTGTGTTCCAGAAGAGACTAAACAGCCATCAGGATGTCTGTCCTGAATCAGGGCTTGGAGTCAATGGCCGCCTGAGTCCAACCAAGTCTACGATTCTACACAAGTGAGGCACTTTCTACTGCCATGCTCCATAAATCCTAGTCAAATCTCAAAAAGGCCACCCCATGATAGATTTGGTTGACTTTAAGTGTTTCTTATTTACAAAAAGGGAACAGAATGTCCCTTACGGTAAGGGAACAAAAGCATTGGATTCTTTGTGAGGCATATATTCTATGGCAATATGCTTCAATGCTTTGAAGATGGTAGCAGTGGAATATATTAGTGCTAGTAATATAAATGTAAATTGTAGACTTGGTTGGATCTGGAAAGAGTGCAAAGAAGAGTAACAAAGATGATTAAGGGGACTGGAGGCTACAACAAAGAATGGTTGCTGGGATTGGGTATGTCTAGTTTAATGAAAAGGAATTATTATTATTATTATTATTATTATTATTATTATTATTATTATTATTATTATTTACAATTTGCAATGCCTTGGTAAGGCCACACTTGGCATACTGCACCCTGTTTTGGTCACCATGATATAAAAAAGATGTTGAGACTCTAGAAAGAGTACAGAGAAGAGCAACAAAGATTATTAGAGGACTACAGGCTAAAACATATAAGGAGCGGTTGCTGGAATTGAGTATGTCTAGTTTAATGAAGAGTTCCAAAATCTCAGGGGTTGCCCACAAAGAAGAGGGGGATCAATCTATTTTCCAAAGCAACAGATAGATAGATAGATAGATAGATAGATAGATAGATAGATAGATAGATAGATAGATAGATAGATAGATAGATGGATGGATGGATGGATGGATGGATGGATGGATGGATGGATGGATGGATGGATATAGAGGATAGATATAGAGAATAGATGGATAGATAGATAGATAGATAGATAGATAGATAGATAGATAGATAGATAGGATAGTGATGATAGATAGATAGATAGATGATAGATAGATAGATAGATAGATAGATAGATAGATAGATAGATAGATAGATAGATAGATAGATAGATAGATAGATATCTCTTCTCTATGTCTCTCACTATCTCACTCTATCAATCTATCTATGCATACCTACACTGGAATGAGTGCAGAGAAGAGCAACTGGAGGCTAAAACATATAAGGAACGGTTGCTGGAATTGGGCATGTCTAGTTTAGTGAAGAGAAGGAATGGGGGTGAAATGATAACAGTCTTCCAATATCTCAGGGGTTGCCCCAAAGAAGAGGCAGTCAAGCTATTCTCCAAAGCAGGACGAGAAGCAACGGAAGGCAGGACGAGAAGCAACGGATGGAAACTAACCAAAGAGAGAAGCAACCTGGAACTAAGGAGGAATTTCCTGACAGAACAATCAATCTGTGGAACTGCTTGTCTTTGGAAATTGTAGGTGCTCCATTACTGGAGGGTTTTGAAGAAGAGACTGGGCAGCCATTTGTCTGAAATGGTCTAGGGTCTCCTGCTTGAGCAGCGGGTTGGACTAGAAGACCCCCAAGGTCCCTCCCAGCTCTGTTATTCTGATATACTGTGTACGTGTGTGTGTTCATATACATAGACATTATAGACATAGACATAGAGATACATACAGCTGCAAAAAGAGAGAGAGAGAGAGTGGTCTTGGATCTGACGTAGAGTTTCTTGTTTCAAGAAAATTGTTCTCTAAGAACAATCCTTTTCCTCCAAACTCTAGGTGTAAAGGGCAAGCTTTGAGCAA